CTCGTGCCCCCTACCTCTCAGGTCTTCCATGGAAAGGCAGGTCCTGCCGCTGCCTGGGATAACCCTGCAGTTGCTTACTGCTGTATGCGTTTTGTTTGGTGCAGGAAATCACGCTTGCATGCCAAATAGAGAAATACCTCCTCTTGAAAGAATGCTCTAATCAGAAGTTGCGAGGCAATGCTTTGCCGATAACTAAGAAAAGGTAGTAACCGATTTTCCAGAGTCTGCATCTTTAAGGAAAAGGAACTGCAATGTACAACTTGGTTGGACTCCAGGCACAAGAGGAAATGGGTTATAGCAGTTGTGACTGTGCGGAGCAGATGTTTTGGTTGGACTGGCTATCAACCATCTGACTCATAATAAATTGTCAGTTCCAGTAAATTCCCAGTTTTCAATTACAGTAGGTAGGATACGAGAAAACAATGCCGTTTGGATAGTGTATTTAAAGTGGTTTTGAGGACAATTTTCATAAACAGCTCTTACTAACTTTGTAAAAAGATTAAGTATTTTGCAAAGGGAGTAGCTGTAAACATTGAAGCGTGCATTTGAATGTAAATTTAGACTGATATGAATGAAAACTAACAGTGGTTGTTGAGACGGTGCTGATAAACTTAAAATCCTACTTCTAATTGTTACTTTGGAATCTTGTGATACCTGAAGTCTTCTCCTGAAGTTTTTTTTGAGGAAAAAAAAAAATTCTAAATGCTCTCAAACTTCCTTTTTCATCAGTTCTGTGCTGCATTTGTGTTTTCACATTGCCTCTTAATCTTGTGTTTCAAAAACGCATACTTAATGAACCTTTCATCTGCACTGGCTAAGAATAGAATAAAATACCATGAGCCTTCTCTTTATGCTTTTTGTTGTGAGAAGTTTTATTTATTCTTGTAAGTTGTTGCTTGAAGGTCTCTGCAGTGGAAAAAAGCCTATGACTTGAAAATCTTTTTGGTTTTTATTATTACTATTTTGTTCCTTTCTCACCACAGGGCTTTACTATGTATATTTTGCATTTCCACAGCACTTTGGAGATTCAGTCAAGGATCAATCCACACTGTACAAAGTATTCTGTAAACATAGGAAACCCCTTGCAGTTCTGGAGAAAGAAAACTATTTATTTTCAGTCTTAAATGGTGTATCCATTTTTTTTTCCTGTTTGATTTGAATGGGCATTTTCTGAAATGAGGGAAATACTATTTTTTTAAAAAAGAAATACGTGATAGTGAGATGGCAGAAAGACACCATGAAAATCTGTGTTGAATCTTTTACATTGCAGTATGTTAGAGGTTTGGGGTTTTTATTATCAAACGTGACACTGTTGTGGAATAACTAATAGGTGTGCATTATCAAATGCTTAACTAACGCTTTCAAACTTTTACAAACATTCAGTTTTTAAACCTCAAAATTCCTGTGGCCCAGGATGTGCTCTCCATTCAGTGGAAGTTCATTTTAATAATACCTTCGGTACAGTCTTTGTGGAAAAAGTTCTGTAAGTATAAAATGGTTCTTTAACATGGCAGTTCTAACCTTGGATGCTAACGTTTATAGAAAATTGCCATTCTTAATTTTTACGAAATCAGTTTTTATTAAATAGAAAATTACTTTTTAAGTAAAAATCCTCTAACATTAAGTGTTGTGAGTTAAATACAGATTATGAGAAGGAACATGGCTACTTAAATATTAAAAAAATGTGTTGTGACTTTAGTTCATCAGCCTCTTTTTTTCTTAAAAGGGAATAATATTGCCAAAGCAATTGGATGTCACTCTCTGTTTTGAAGCCAACTGAAAAATAAAAATAGAGGTGACTTTTGCTTTGCTGCTCTGTTTAAATCTGGCCTGTTCTTTGAGAAAAATACGCTCGCAGAAATCAGAAAGGGGAAGACGCTGCCCGGGCAGAGTTTGATAAGAAGCGTTAAAACAACGTTTGCCTTTGGACGCTTTTGTTTAATGGAAGGATCTCAGCCGCTGTTCTGGGGAAATGTCATTGCTGGTAATATAAGGATCCATCATCTCACCTAGTCACTAACAGGTTTGTAGAGATGAGCAGGAGAGAGATCACTGAAGGAGTTAAGTTGTGACTGGCACAGACAACATCAAAAAGGTCTATTAGTTGAAATGCTTTCCACAGTTTATCTTTGACATGTGGTTTTGGTTTAGTTTTATAAACGGCAGTTGTAACAGACATACTAGGGTTGAATGCAGTTCCACCAAGCAGATTCTTGCATAAATAAAAGTACCAAAGTCTGAGAGGAATAAAGAGTATGGTGTTGCATACAAAGGGACCTCATCATGAATCTGTGGCCACCTGAGCAGTAAGGTTGAGCAACTTCATGGTGTCACTGCATTACATCTTTTTAAAACCTACAGGAATGCTGATTTTTTGCATGTTTTTTTAAGTTACAATTTTCATTTCCCAGGTATGTGAGCCAAAAATACGCATCCATTTGAAAAGTGGTAGTTACAGAAGAATGCAAATTTCTGTACTCAAACTTGCATTGGACAGTAGCTGTATGAACGTAATGTAGTGCTGTGCTGGCAACAGTAGTTGCAGTAGTGTTTGTTGTGCATTATTTTTGTAAATGAAAAATATCACGTCTCGGTTTATTGCTCTTCTGCACACATCAGCTTGTTGCAGTTTAACATGCAAAGATACCGTGATGATTTATGTTGTTGCATGGGTTGTTTTAGGTTTCTTTTCCCCTGACATGAAGCCACTAGTGAGTGTAGAGAATATAATGTAATATTACTGTATGGGTTAATGGATGCTGGAGTGGTGTTCACCTGATCTGTTTTGCGGTTGTTTGGGGTTTTTTGCCCTGTTTTGATTCTTTTATCAGTAAGCACCTGGATGGTATTCTAGAACCTGGTTTTACGCATACTGTCAATCTGTGTGTGCACATCAATTTAAGTACTAACACTAGATTCAAGATTAAATACATATGGTTTTGTCCATGTAGCTTGTAAAATGCATGTAGGTTCTATTCTGTAAAAACAAATTATTTGGAAAGAATTGGAAACAAAAGAATATGGTCTCGGAAGAACTGTATATGTACACGAATGAACGTGTTATATGTACTTGTCATCTCTTGAAGAGTGCCCATTAAAATAGAATCTTTTAAATCATTAGCATTACTGCTTAATCTCTCTTAATAGCTCTTTTCATTTGATTGACAATTAGCAAATTAATGAGAAAAAGCCAGTTAATGCCATACTCGGCTTCAGGAGTGAAAGCTGTTCCTTATTTGAATTTTTTCCTTAATGAGGAAAATATATGAAATACTGAGGAAAAGGTTGGGAGGGGATTGCACTCTTGGGTATTTTGGGGGAGTTGTTTGTCTTGTTGAAAAAGGTTTTGTAATCTGTGCTGGTACTTCTGCTGTAGATGATAGCACCGCTTGGAAACGTAACACTGAAGGGAACATTGTGGGTCGCAGAATCCTGTCCGTTGTTGTTACAGGCAACAATGTCATATAATCCCATCCATAAACTGATCATATTCCAACAGGACAGCAGCTAATTTTTGTCCTCACCACTCCTATGGAGTGTCGTCCTGCAACTTCAGGTTAAAACCGTGTTCTGGTTTCCAGCCATATGTGCTCGTGACTGTTTTTTTAGGCATTTCTAAGAGTACATTTTCTTTCAGCTGTCAGAAGTGAGCTGCACACCAAGGCAGAATTTAAGAAAACACAGTCAGCTCTGTCTCATTTTTCATCTAAGACAATTGGGGTTTTTTAAGACCCATTCTTCCCTGCAGCTTATCACTAAGTTTCTTGGCATGTTGTGTTCTGCACGTAATGGCTGGTATGCAGCTGGTCTCTCTGGACGTTAACAGTTTCAGTCCTGCCAAAGCTTCAAATGGCACGAGATTGTCTTGCTGAAACCTCTCAGCAGTCACTTTTTTTTTCCCCCCCCCCCTACCCAGATAGGGCAGGATCTCCTAACAATGTTTAAGTGGTTTGCATGTTCCTTCGTCACAGCTGCTTGCGGGACAGAGCATACCAGGGCACACTGCACCATGTTGATCCTGCTTTGAGCACATATCTGCTGGGTTATCTATTTCCTCTCATATTTTTCCAAAACGGATAAAAACAAACGCATCTTGGCAAGTTGCTATGTACATATGCACAAACACGTTAAAGGACTTCTTTGTGAGCAGCAAGTGGCACCATGTTACTTGCTGTCAATGAAGGTGACTGCACTACTCATTGCTTTTGAGCCAGAAGAGGGCAAGAGCTTAAATGAAGTTGTGTGTAGCAGAAATACGTTTTCGTACTGTGTGTGATTTATGAATTGGAGAGATGTCAGGTCCTAACCAGAAACAATTTGTTCTACCTGATCCCAAAACTGTAGCTGATTGTTCTGATACAAAGAAAGCTTAAACTGTGAATGCATTAAGATTGATTGTCGTGGTATTTAGCATGGGTTTTATTTTTCTTACAGTAGTTTTTATAGAGCATGCAATCTTTGCTGAAAGGAGTGCATGGGTTTAATTTGCAGGAAACTTGGGGACAGTGACTCCTCGATACAAATTTCTGATCTCAAAAACGTTTTTCATCCACAAGAGAAGTGGGAGTTGAGTACAGCAGAAATTTCAGACCATATACTACTTTGAAAAATAACAAATATAAAATCTGAGGTCATAACTCAGTGATACTGTAACATTTTTAAAAATTCTTTGGCATTTGCATCTGATATTAGTGTTGAACCAAGAATTCTTAGAAATTAAATCTGCATCTTTACTGAAGTATGTAGTTCAGCTAATTGAAGAAGAGCTACGCTATTATACACTTGCTAGCAAAGTAATTCTATTTTGATACGTTAAAGGAAATTAAGCAGAATATCTTTTAAGTACTAATATAGTAAGAATAAATTTGCAACCTATTTTTCAATGGTTACACTTTAGATTCCTCACTTAAGCATCTCCTAAATAAATTGGTATTTGACTTGTTAGTTGTTATCTGTAAGCTTATAAGTACTCAGTTTGTTATTTGCCTTTTTACGTACAGGATGTGAATGAAGATCCTGGGGAAGATGTTGCACTTCTCTCCGTTAGTTTTGAGGATGCAGAAGCTACCCAAGTTTTTCCTAAGCTGTATCTCTCCCCGCGTATTGAACAGTGAGTGAGACCATTTTTTTCTGGAGTATTTGTTCTATTTCATCTCCAAACTTTTCCATTTTTCCCTGATATATGTGAGAAATGTTGGTTAGGTGATAACCTGCTATTGCTTTAAATTGCTTTAAATTGCTTAAAGTCATAATGATTACTGCAAGGGGGTGTGTGGTGGAGAAATGACAGATCTGCTTTCAGCTAGTTCTGTGTCAATGGCTGGATCACATATGGATGAAGAAAAGTCATAACTGGGTACATGTGATATTCTTGTAGCATCATCATCCATGAAAACTATGCTGTGTTTTCCTGTAGCAGTATATTTTGAGTGCCTCCTATGGTACAGCATACTGATAGCTTTCTTGGTGGGGAAATCTTTAATTTCTTTTTCTTTTGGGAAGATAAGTTCTCTGTATAAACAATGTACATTTGAATACAGCATTATTGTAGAAGCTAAAGGGCTTTATTAACTGTGTTTTAGGAATTTGCAACTTTAGTAAGTTACTTTATTCAGGAGAATATCAGAATATTTCATTTTAAGATTGTTGATCCTTACTGAGCTGTTTACCACTTCGCAAACAGATTTGCTGAGAAATGAATTGCTACTCCGAAAATGGAAGGGTGAGGATTAGAAATCAGTCTACTTGCATTAAATTTCTCTTCTTCCATTTCTGGAATTAAGAATGTCTTAACACTCCTCCTTCCCCTCAGTATTTCAGTCTTGTAATGTCTGCTTCAAAAAAGTAACTGCATTAGACTGTTCAGGTATACAACAGTCAAGCTGGTCTAGCATTGTTTCAGTGATGCTTTGTTTTTGTGGTTGTAATGCTGCATTGACTTTCCTCAGAACTGGTGATGACACTTCTGGGTAGAGAAGAAAAGATGGGAAATGCTGACTACCACAGTTTTATAATAACTCAGTGATAAAGTTTATGTGAGTGAGTGAACACAGTATCTTGACATTTTGCTCAACAGGGCATTGGTCTGGACAAACTCATGGTTGCAATTTAAAAAACAAAAAACAAGATTTGATTTAGCTAAAGGCGTAAGACTTCCCAGATATTTTATTTAAGCAAACGTAGGTTATACATGCGCACGCAAACACCTGCACAATATATTTAGCAGCTTTTACATTTTCGTATTTTTTATCAATTCACTACTTTTTGTCAACATTAGCTGAGGGAATAGTTGTAGTCAAGCATATAATTATCCTTCTGTGTTCCAAAGGACTCTTCTGCTCAGCTGCTGTTAAAAGCAAATGGGCTGTCACTAGTTTCCATTGTATTTTCAGCTCCAGTCACGTGTTGCTTCTTAAGTGTATTTCAGGCCACTCAGGTACATCTGCCTAAATGACCCACGTGCTAATAAATACATTGCTTATTTTCCCACTTTCGATAGTATCTTTAGAAAGATGTTAACCTCTTGATACCAAGCAGAATAGCAATACAAAGGAACACTTTGTGTTCTTAAAAGTATTGCATTTTCTGTCAGTGCCCTAAACAATATCTGATTTTAGATGTGTGATGTAGAGCAATATAGCAGAAAGATATTTGGGTGGTGTTAGTACATATCTGACATGTCTGACATATTTATGGCTTTGTCATTTATAGCTTATGAAGTCGTGTTAAAATCATGCCAGTAAACCCTGGAGTTCGATGCCACACCTTGTTCAAGTTATCTGTGTGTCAAAGTTGAGATACTTCACTCATACAACTCATTCTGTCCTCATGTGTTTGTAAGGTATTCATCACAGTATCTGGATACTGGTGACCCATAATACCAGAGTTGCTTGCGAGCCATTGCACCTTCCTTTATTCTACTAGCTACTTTTTATGTGCCATGAAAAAATGTATGTTTTCGATGTTTGTTCAATTGCATTTTAATAACAAAGCTATAGTTGTCTCTTATTCTTTCCCAAAACCAATCTCTGCTCTGTTTAGCAGAGGCTGACAGTCCAGATATTTAACTTTCCAATGTTTGGGAACTGAAGCAACAATGTGTACTTCTTTATACTTTTTGCCAAAAGTACAAAAAGCCTCAAGAAGCCCTGAGGATTAGTTTAATGACTTGAGGCCATGGCATGTTACATTTGAATTGTGTTCTGCTTATAAAAGTTCTTTCCTGCTGCTAACAGTAATTGCATCTACAAAAGCCATGTAAGCAAATTACCAGTGTATTTTTTATGCAGCAAATTTTGAGGTGGAGTAAGTAGTAGTTGACAGTTCCCAACATAACATTCCCAAGTACTCAACAAAACAGGAAAAATACCAAATTCCCACAATTATTTTGCTAATACTAAACTCTGCTCACCTTAGGAAGAACGAGCAAACATTTTCCTGACATATGAAAAAACATTTTCAGACAGAAACATTTCAGCTTTGTAGAGAAAAGAGAGCAAAGGGCCTCTTTGTGTAACGTGAGTTATCTCCTGCTTTCCCAAGAGATTTCATTGCTTTTGTGCTCTACCACATAAGCACGCATTCCCACATTGCATTTTCTAAAAATGATATGTACCCACAGATCTTGTCAGCGAATTTGAGCCCTGGCGATATGAATATAGTGTTTTTGCTTTGAAGGGTTATTGTAAAGCACGTTTGCTGTATTTTTAGATGGATGGTAAACATAACACTAGTAAGACTTTGACTGTTCTTTGTCATAGACTCTGGAAGAGAGATTTGCAAAATGAGGGAAATGTCCACTTTTTATGGTTGGGGGCTAAGATGTTAGTACCTCGGTTGGTTTGAAAAAGCTCAGATAATAAAGCAGGGGATTAAAATATAGTAGAGCAGTATTGTGGAATATTGAGTCAATATTGGTGTTCCATTGACTTGCGTGGTGTGGTGTCTGGCTGCAAGAGTGTCAAGTCCAGTTCTTACAGTAAAAAAGCCCAACCCCACACTTGGGGGTGGGAAGCATTTGTGTTAGTTTATAAAAATCTCAGCAATAATTATTCATAACTATACCTGGTTTAATTCTTTCATTAAAACTTGGTAATTTAAAAGTGTTCCTTTAAATACTAATTGTTCAAAACACATTAACAGCAATTTCTAGTTAATGTTGCCTTAATTTGAAATCAATCACTTAAAAAAGCTTTCATTTTATAATGTTAAGAATTCTTCTTATTCTTTATTGCACTGCAACAATAAGCAGATAAAGGCCAATAACAGTTGCTTTTAATGATTTCAAAAATTAGATTGTTTAAAGGAAGCGTGGGACATTTATGATATTTGTTTTGTTTAAAAACTACCATCGTAACTGTAGTATCATAAAAACAAATGTCTGCACACTTCTAGAGGAAGCGGTAAGCTGGGAGACCCCACAGACTGACCACCCAACTTGAGAGGATGGTGGTTGTCAGCATCCATGAGTGTGTGCCTCCCGCTCGTCCCGCTGCTCCTCCCGCCTCAGGGCTTGGGACTGACCACAGGATGCTCTTCATCCCCCGCTGATGCCTGCTCTGCTTTGGGGAGAGGGTGAGAGAGCTGAGCAGTGTCGGTTCCTGAGGTGCCTCACTTGCTCATCCACCTGACCTCCTCCTGCTGCTAGGTAGGCACAGACGTCTTCTGAGGCTGCTTCTGCGCTCCTCTGCACCCTGAGGAGCTGCTGGGATATTTATCCTTTACACCTCTGTCGCATTTCCATGCGTTGTTCATAATGTCTCTTAACCTGTCGGTAGAAAGCATCTTGCTTGCTCAAAGTTATCTTTCTAGTGACGGTATACTAGATATTTGTATGGAAAGGAAATCTGTAATAAAAATATCAATCAGATCTTCGGTTTCCATTAGTTAAAAGTCGCTAGACTCTAAAACCAAGGAGTCAGTGCGAGATTGGACAGCTAACTTCTATATTAATGCTTAAAATGTGTGTCAGCGTACTACACAAATGTGGATCAGAAGGTTTAAAAAAAAAAAAAGAAAATTTTATGTATTTTTTTCCTCCATGATTAGTCCATGCTAAAGAAAATAAAAATGGGTTTGTCTTGGTTCACATTTTTAGAAAAAAAGATAAAAGAGTAGAAACACTGTTGCTTAGTGAATGCTGTGTTCCCTGGATTCACAGAAATAATCCTGCAATAAACACTGTCGTCCTGGAGGGCTTTTCTCTGATAAATACGCGGACGTGAATATGCTAAGAAAACCAGCTGTCAGTAGAACTTGTTTTGCTTAAATGGATCAGGCTCCATGCTTTGGGGACTGAAATGGTGGTTTTTTATTGGTCTGGGAGCTGTGCCAGAGGGTTCTTCGTGACTGAGGGTGGTATGCAGAGTTCGGTGACTGCATTTAACCTTCTCATACGGGCAGAGGAGAATAACAAGAACCTGGTCTGAACTCTTAGACTTTGCATGTTTCTGTATGTTTTTCACTGATGGAAAAAAGAAAGGAAGAGAAAATTAAACACATGTATTTGCTTTAAGGTGTTTCCTATCTTTTACCTGTCCTTTCTGCTGGGAGTGGGAGGAGGAAAACCATAGAATATTATCCATTTGCTGCCAGGTACTGCCTCTCGCTATGTTTGAGATGCAGGGGTGCTGTGAAGGGCTTCACCTTTAAAGTTGGCATGCCTTACTGCTGAGTGCACATCACCGGTTGAAGCCTGCTGTTTCAGAATGATTATGAATGCACAGTCTTTAAATGAGTGGTCATGTTATTAAGCTTTTTATATGTCTGTCTTTGTAGAAGACAGAAGTTAGAAGGGCTTCTGTTTGGCATATTAAAATGTGCTTATTCATCCGAGTCAATGGTTTTGGTAGAATTGTTAGCAGACAGCCAAGACCGTCCATGACTACTTCAAATTCCAGAGCATCTTTGCCTACATGGGAGGCAGGAATGACTGCTGCTTTGCAAGGCTTTCTCTTCCGTTAAGCCTAGTTTGGTCATGTCTCTACGCAGTGCTTGGCCAGTGAGTCACTGATATCTCCTGCCTGCTCTATGTGCCGTGTCTCCATCGTACAAATCTTCTGAAACTGTAGCCTGATTTCCAGTGTAGCTCTGTTTTGCAACTCTTCCTGT